ACACTTTAAAAGAGGGGAAACTAGGGTTTCTTTTATTGTTAAATTTGGGTTTTGATGGGCTGGGCTATGAAAATTGTTGATGGGCTCAATATTGGGGTGGATTGGTGGATTTGTTTTGGTAGATTTCATCCTCAATTTTTTAATTTTTTCGATTGAGTCCTTTTCTTGTTATTTTTCTTGAATTTCTTCACAAAAATTTTATATATCGATCAATCCGAAACGGTACACAAAAAATTTTGATATCCGGTACGTACCATTCCAGTAACAAAATCGATACGTATGCCGGTACGGTATTAATAACTTTGGTGTCAAATCGTCCTTTCAGGTTTCAGCAGCCTCCTGCTAAATAAAATAAAACAACCGCCCGCGCACCCTGCACCGCCTGTCCAACAGTTTTTCCCGTTTCCCTTCACTTTCTCAAAGAAATCACCTTAGCGAAACAGATCCCAAAGAAAAAAAAGAAAAAAAGAAAAAAAAAAGAGAGAGAGAAAGACGAAGCGGGTTGGCCGTCGTGGGGCTCGGGATCGTTGTCATACTGGTGTGGATGACCCCAGAAAACCAGAGGCAGAGAAAATTAACCCCACAATATTTCTTTGTCTTGGAAGAATTCCTAGACTTTTTCTAGGATGATTCTGAAGATAAGAGCGAAAATGCGCCTTCATTGACTCTCGAATTTTATTACTATCGCGAAATCTGCTCACTAGCTGAGGACATCGTTAAGTCGACTGGCTGACGTTTACTCGCAGCACAGGGACGTTCCGGCAGCTCTCTCTTGCTCCTTTTTTTCCTGACTGCTTCATCGGGGTACACCCACGTTTTTTGCTCGGTTAAATTACAGTTTGGGTTCGGTGGTTCTTGATGCCGTGTGAAGTCGACGGCATGTCTCTTCTTTTTCCTTTATGGGGTATTTTCTCAAATAGGTTCCCTGCATTTTCGTCTTCCAGTATATAGTGAACAAGATTGTGACTTTTTCCATATTCAGTTAGATTATGAGTTGTTAAGTCTTGATGTTCCATAGGGTTTCATAATTCTCGATAGATTTAGTTTAATAATGGTGATTAGATTCTCTGTACCAATCACTTTTACAAAATTACTCGCCAGATATTGCACTCCTGTTTTTGGTTTCTATATAATTTTGATCAGAAAAGTTAGTTGTTCCCATATTATTCCTGGTACGTTTAGTGTCGTCTAGTTCTTAATCTTTTCTTAGTTTTTACAAAATTTTAAACAGTTAACGTTTGTTCCGTTCCGCTTGGAAGAATGATTTGGAGTTTCTACAAATTTGTTGCAGCAGCAGCAAAACCAGCATTATCAACATTGAGGCTTCTGACAGTGCTTTCACACTCTTTGCCGTTGGTTTACTTACTAGTTAAAGGGTTTGATATCAGCATTGTCATTCTGCCAATTAACTTTTCACTGGGTCTTTTGAATTTCATCTTGTAGCTCTAATTTTGATTTTGATCAGGATCTGCTTCTTAATGTTTTGGTTTGGTTTCTTAATCAGGGCTGTGATGCTTCAGTTTTCATGGATGACAGCAAATCAGCAATGGTAACAAAAGGCATTCAATTGAGAGGCAAGCTGTACCTAATAGATCCTTAAGAGGCTTCGATGAAAAAAGGCCTAGAAATGGCTTGCCCAGGGGTGGTGTACTAAAAAGATGTTTCTTCAAGTGCCCTTTTCTAATCATCTCAAGGGGAACACAGTATCGGGAAAAATAGCTATGATTCTTTCAAAATCGCCTCTGCAACTTCTAGGAACAGGGCAGCCAGAGCCATGTTCACCATCTGATTTCCTCATTGACGTAAGAAGAAATTGTCAGGATAACACCCCGGGAGAGGACTCCTCTTCCCTGATCAACAATTGATGGCTGATGAGAAGACAGCAAGAAATGTCCGAGCTTACTCATTGGATGATGAATTGACCTTTTAGAATAGACTTTGTCAGGGTTATGTTGAAGATGTCTGCATCGGGTGCATGTGTTGACCAGATCTCAAGGTCAGGTTCTAACAAACTGTTTCATGCCTCTCTGCAGCTCTTAAATAACAGTCCCATTATCTCAGTGTGATTCTGGAGATTTTCACATTCTTTCATTGGTTGCATATACAAGCTAAACTGAAATGCCAGTCTCAGTTGAGAAGCAATCAGCAAGTTGAGCAGCAATCAGCAAGTTGTGGACTAGACCATGAATTTGTATAAGGAGTTCTGATACTGGAAGACAGATGCTGTTTACAATATTGTCATAAAATAGAAGGTGACATTCTGCTCCTAAAGCTTTCCCCTTTCTGCATATTAGTTAAGTGATAGATTGTAGGAGCATTAAGAAGTCTAGAAATTTGACTGAAATTATACTGACATACACTGATACACATGAACCCTGGAAGGTTGCACAAAATTGAAGCATGGATTGCATACATATAGCATACAAGGAATGATCAAATATAAACCACTGGATGGATACTGAACAGTAGAAGGCCATAGCAGTTAGATGTACTGACATACACATGAACCCTTTCTTTTATTTATTATCAGCAAGAAGCGTTTTCATAACATATAAGATACCAGAAGTAATTAAAATTACAAAACCAACTAGCTGTTCCATGGAGTTTAAAGGCAGAACAATCTTTGAACTCCAGACAGCACAAAGACCACAAGAAATAGAGAAGGATGAAGTGAGTACTAGTTCATGCCAACTTGCCACAAGTCTACAGACAAGAAAGGAAGACCGATGAAGAGAAACTTGATCCACACTAGATGAAGAAATTATGTGTTTTGATTCCACAAAAGTATCACTCAATTTGCGGGATGATAAGAATGGGAATTACGCATAGATCAATTTTTTTTCTTGCCACAGTGCTGAAAACCTCAGTCAT